GGAACATTGTGACTGAAAGAAAAAGGCTGATGTGTAAAACATGGGACTTGACAAGTCTGTTAATCTTCCTTGTTTTTTTAAACTTTCTGGTCCAAGAGTCTTCAGAAGAGTTCATGTACAAAGTCAGGTGGGAAGGATCTTTGACACCTATTCTTTTTGATCCTGACTCTCTGCTTGTTCTGTTTGAAGATGCTCTTGCAAAGATTGTCTTTTCAGCATTGTACTTCTTTATCTTTAATTAAATTATTCATGGTACTCCTTTCCATACTTTTTGGAAAGATGTAATCGGAGTGATATGAAAACAGGAAGCATGACTTTCTCCACAAAACTTTCTAGAATTTTACTACATAGTTTCTGTCAGAACAAGAGACAGAACTGTCTGTTTCATTTGTCTATATATGAGATTACCTCTTAATTAAAACCTTCTGAAATGTGTTATGAGTGAGACAAGCCACATAAAGCTTTCTGTTCAGTGGGCAGATACAAGTACCATATCAAACAGAAGGGACAAAAGACACTTCTGGTAAGAAATGCAGGCTATTTTGTGCCATGTCTATACAGGAACTTAATGTTCAGCACTGTTGTACTGTTTGATGACAGAAGATTCTGTATGGATGAGTTAAAAATGTCTCGTGTAGTTCTGCCAGACCAAGTCTTGTGACTCGAGGCCTCATAAGCTGTATGTCTATTTCTGCTCAGAAGTCTCTGTGTCTAGTGAAAGACAACAAGGTATGCCCCAGTCAATGTGTGAAGCTCAAAGAACCTCAGTTGGCCGAAAAAGAGATCTTCTAAGTCCACAGGGCCAGCTGCCAGGAGACTCAGCCAGGACAATGTGCCTTCTCTAACTAGTGGGATCATAACGCTGATGCCCTTCTGGCTGACTGCTTTTGAGCTTTTACTAGTGCTTCTGTTGTGGTGGTACACTCACAGCATTTTATCTGGACATCATCATACAGAAAAATATCTGAACTGAAATCTCACAGGCTGTTTTTTTAAATTATAGTTCTGTAAAGATGTGGTTGGGCTGCAGAAGATAGACAGTGGCTAATGACAACCATTGCTTGCCAGCATGTACCTGAAGACAAATGCTAGGCATGCATAAGGCATTTGGTTTTGTTCCAGTGGCATATGGCAACTTCATGCCCTTAACAAGAAGTCACCCTCACAGCAGCATCAGGAAAGGGCAAGGTC